ATTTAGTATTTAGACACCCACCCACTTCTAGCTCCGTGGGCAACCCGACTAGATTTGCTGAAATACCACACTTCAGAAGCTTATGGGCGATGGCGTCAATTAGCGTCTCGAACGACATTCCAAAGTCTGATTTCCATGCATACCCAATTCATATGTTTCGGGTTACCGGCGGTCTCACAGCCGCCAACACCAAGGAATCAGCAAGCTTTGCTGTTCTTCCGATAGATCGTTAGTCTAACTCAAACATGAATGAAAGCTGCACTCATGTAGGATTCCCACCGTATGGGATGATGCCTTCAGTCCAACCATATACAAACAGTCAGTCAACCTACATAACCAAAGTAGATATGTTAGATAACTTCTTTTAATTGTTCGGTCTCTCAACAGCCAAATACACTATCTACGGTCTTCAATACTTCTCTCCTGTCCCACATATTACTTGACACTTAAGACTTGAGAAATGTAACATACCACAAATAATCAGTTTAAATCCCAAACTTCCGAAGACGTAGCAGTAAACGCATAACCCGCCGTAGTGGCGGATACCTCTTTAATGTGGCTTAGAAATACAATGTAACCCCTGAATGTGACCTACACCTTCTAAATGGCCATGATGAATGTTTGGGTTCACATTCAAATAACATGCAAGACCGTCCTTTTCAGTTGTGTCTGCAATACACCACACTGTCGGAAATCGCGCATCCTTCCCTGGTAGATATCTCTTCATATGTCACTGAGCAGCCGGAAGTTAGAACATCATTGGTGAACATTTCAATATGCCCGAGGTCTCCAGTAAAATAATAGCATTCTGTTTGAGCAATCCGTATATTGATTGTATTCAGCAAATTTTATCACTAACCTGTAGTGAACACTTACATACGTGGTCTTTACAAAAGACATAAGTCAGATAAGTAAATGCATCCGAACCACACAATGACGGATCTGCGCCGACAAAATCAGCTACAACCAAGGCGCATCCAGCGAAAATAAATTTATCGTTACCACCACGAAACGAACTAGAAAGATTTTGCAATTTTATTGTGGTTTATACAACTGGATAATTATTTCTGTTCCGGAAAACCTCAACAGGCAGCTGACGTGATATACACAAATGCAATCTGCTATATCTGGTGACTGAATCCGGGGTGAGCTCCATAAAAGATAAGGTACTAGAAGACAAAAGAAACAGTGGGACTCCCTGTGTCGACTAATAGGGCTTCAAGCTAAACCCGTCAATATGATGTGTCTTGTCTGTCACCCAAACTCCGTACACTACAGTGAACCGCGGTTACTTCAGGTAACACTTCAGTCAGGTAATGATACATAGGTAATTCTCTTGTCAGCCACTTGCCTCCGTACCACCTCATGAACTGTTTGATCTTTTCCACATGTTCCTCGGAGCGAACGCCAGGTACGCAAACAAAATCCGGACGACTTCCGTAAACAACAAGAAGCAAAATCTATCCTTGTTCACGGTGTCCCCGAGAACAAGACATTAAGCGAGCTAGAGGATGAATGGGGCTTTATTCCTCAATGGCTCACACTAGAAAATGTTATCGCTAATTCGACATCATGATTACCGCTATCACCTAACTACAAACGGTGAGGTCCCAGTGTGATGGAATTGTCATTGCACTCCGAACTGTTGGCAGAATAAGTGATGCAAATGTGGCAAAAAGCGTAAAATGCTGCCATCATATATAGGTATGAAGGCGATAGGCACCGGGTTACAGATAGACAATGTAACACCGAGTAAGCAACTTACTAATATGATTCTGTCACCGTGTATCTCAGAACGGAAACAATGCCAATGCACATCCAATTGTTGTCGCTGAGATCTTTATACAACAACCTGAACTGGCCCTAGGGTCGGCGTCATCAGTCCTACAAAGATACGACCGGCAGCCGACCCCACAAGGGTCGGCATAGACCCTCATAGGAAACCAGCATTCACAAACTCGCTTCTGACAAACGATGCTCTCATCTCCTTGTATACCAATGCACAGTCTTCTCAGCAAGCTAACCGAACTTCGTACTCTTCAGGTCTCCACGTCTTGGGAACTCGTTATGTTCACCGAAACATGGCTGAACAGGATAACGGATGATGAGATTGCTTTACCCGGCATGACTTCCATACGAAACAATCGACTTAGCAGAGGAGGGAAGTGCTCCTGTATTATCTATCCGACCTGCATGTTGATAGCATTAAGAACCCAGCAACGAAAGTCGTCGACGCTCTTTGGTGTCGTAGGCACCTAAAACGTGGTGATGTGTGTTTACTAACAATAGTTTACCGCCCTTCAATGTCCCATTAGAAACGAATTAATGCCTAGCCTCTGCGATGAAACGAGTCCTGGCACGACCATACAGTCACACCCTTATGGTGGGCGACTTCAACCTACACGCAATCGAAGTTCATGTAGCGCACAGCGAACAATTCAAGGCTGCTTTGAAAGAGGGGATCGCCAATGTATCTTTGTACAATCATATCACCACTCGCACGCGATTCCGAACGGGTGACACGCTCTTTGTTTTGGACCTTGTGATCTCCAAAGAGGAATTTTAATGGACACAGTAACCATAGATGCACCACTTGGCCGTAGCAGTCACGCCATTTTGCTCGTTCGTTACATCCGTTACTCTGAGTACAGCAGTGAGAACAATATGGAAGCCTATGTCGTTACACATTAGGATACCCAGTCCAAACTCGTCCAAGAAACCGACTGGTCCTTTCTGGCCGAGAAGCCACCCAATGTCACCTGGATGTTGTTCGTCACCCAATTCACTGAGCTGGTGGCAAAGGCGTCAGAAAGCAAAGTCTTCCGCCCGAAGCAAATGAATTCGTTTCTGAGGAGCCGTACTAGAAAAAGCAAGGACTAAGTTATTCAAGCTAACGCGCTTATAAAGTCTTTTCAAGTAACCTGGCCTGGAGTGCCTACACAACTCAATGAAACCACTGCATCAAGTTGATCCGCGAAGACAAACTCCAGCATCAACAGAACTTAGCGGCGAAATTCAGTACAAATCTCAAGTTGCTGTATAGACACGTCAACAAACTCCGCTGAGTGCAGCGCGGGATGCCAGTTTTACGTACAATAGATGGTCTTGCGCTTACCGCACAAGCTGTAGCCAACCTGCTTCACCAAAACTTCATCCATAATTTCCGGAGTGAATCATCATTTCATTCACTTTTGACACAGCTTCCATCACCACCAGGGTTAAACCACGTATTGTTCACGGCAGCCAATGTGAAGAAAACGTTAATGTCATTGCGCGTGCACACCTCACCTGGCATGGACGACATCAAACCGAAGGCCTTGAAGACAGCGGCAATGTACCTTACCGAACCATTAGCTCGGTTCTTTCAATGCTATCTTGATGAAGTGAAGGTTCCCACACTATGGAAACATGGAGAATTCACTCCTATTTACAAAAGTGTTTAGCTTTTGGGGTCTTCGAACTGCCGTCCAACCACATTCCACCCGGTTTTATCCAAAGTAATGAAACGCAGAGGCGCTCATGGAATGTCTGGAGTGCAACAGCATCCCAGTATCACGGCAACGCGGCTTACGCCGAAACCGATCCTACACTACAAACTTGTTGCTAGCCCGAGCAAGCTGGACAAAGGCATTCCATGCCAGAGTGGGAGTCGGCGTTGTCTAACTGGACTTCTCGAAGGCGTTCGATCGTTTGTACCACCGCAGTCTCTTTCACAAACTTCGAAGCTATGACATCGGTGGCAACTTGCCCTCAATCAGCTGAATGTGAGTGTTCGCAGCTTCATTTCCGACCCGATTGACGTCCAGTGTGGCGTAACTCAAGGATCTGTGCTGGGGCCAAGTTCAGCACGTAAAATCTGATAATCACTCTGCTCATGAAGCGGTTACCCTGTGACAGCATATTTTAGTTGGACATGGTTACACAGCATTTGCATTTTTTAGATAATGCTATATCCTCGAAGAATAACACGGGACTATCATTGTGGCGGGGGTGATTTGAGCAAAAACATGTAGAAAGTCTGTTGTTAACATTGAATTCCTCATCTTACTTTTGTTAAGCAGGTTAGTTCACCCGAGGTACACCATACTAATTTCTAAGTTTGGTCTAGCATTCTAAATGAATTTTGATGTTTGGCTCCCCTGGCTGCTTAAAATGACCGATCAGCTCAGCTCTACTCAAACACTAAGAGAGATTTGAGAATGACTGCAGGATAGATCACAACGTTCGGTGTCCTTGAGTAAGCAAATCAGTGATGATTATAACTGCTGGCGAGCACAAACTTTCGGAACGTAAATTCCGTAACGATCAGTCGCCAGTAATTCGAGTGAGCTTGTGGACACTAAGATAAAGATACATTCAGCAAGTTCGCAAATCAGCTTTCTGCCACTGGCCACAATGCTGCGAATGAATGGATGGACAATCAGAGCCAAATGTGCGGAATCGGTGATTCAAATGGCTGGTAAAACGAATTCTGGTAGTAAGCTAAATCAAAATAACAAGACCTAAGGAGCCATTTAGGTATATGAATAGAGAGCGCTTAATGGATGTACGCAGGACCAAAGGGTTTGGCATGTTATGACGAATTTGCAGTAGATTAGTGTCCAATCAACATATTAATCTATAACCTGCGCAAGTTGGCTAAATAAATTGGTTCAGTTACCTAATGTTGCCAAGTATATGCCTAAGTTATTATTGTACGTATTAAGCTGATCGCATTCACAAGGTTTGAAATACGAAGCATATGGCTGTTAAAAGGTCAACGGCATGGCGAAATTGCCATTTACAAAATATTATTTGTGTGTAGGGTAACGCTGTCAAATAACACTGTATTTCTTCACATAATATGAAACATACTTCTTGGAAAGTATTATACAGTTTTGATGACGTCTTACTACAACCTTATCGCACCTTTGTAACACAGTCAAATCATAGTCATCTAAGCGTGCCATTGCGTGTACACATCGATTGATGGTATGCAAGAGGATAGTGATCCCTTTGGATTAGGGTGCTTCAACTAGATCTGGATTTTTCGCGATATCTTTAATAGCATTACGTAGTGTCACATATCGTTTGAAAATACTTTCGTTCTTGTTTGTATGATATATCACGTCCAATTCATTGATCGTTTCGACGATGTTCTGGATTCGATTGTCATAGCGTTCGTTGATTTCTCTGAGACGACGATTCTCCACCTCGAGTTCATCTTTTTCGTAATCTGGTGAATGAAGGTGCAAATATACCAAGAGTTTTGAACAGGACTTTGCCTGATAAATTGACTTGATTTTTCATGATCATGGATTTAGCCTCTTTTGATATGGTAATCTGGCAACATATAGCATCTATAAATGAGTAATAATGTTCTTGTTTAAAAGTTAATACACTATGATAAATCGGGAATAGTGGAAAGAGTATCAAACATTGGGGCTCGCTGGATATACTAGTGCTAGCAATTGGGACTTGCAAAATGTAGGTAACTGGAGAGTTCACTATTAAAACAGATATTTCTGCGATAATTTATAGAGTCTCCGCTGATATAACGACCGTTATCGACAGTAGGCCAATTAACATAAAATAACATAAAAGTTTTCTGGCATAACAAATAATGTTGAAGCCATTTTACGTCACCGTCATCACGAACAATGAGAATGAATGGAATTAACAATACTTTCCGACAAAGCAATATTTATGCAAAATTCATACGTAAAACAAAAGCTGAGTAAGTACCACGGAACATATCCAAAAATAATTCGTAATTTGCTTGCTTTTCTCATGGTTACTTTTGCGTAAATTTCTATACCAGTTCAAGCTTCCAACCGCTCTTGTAGAATCTGAATATCCTCACAAAGAAACTAGTATTGCAATAATCAATAACCAATTACAATTTTCATCAGATGAATTGAGATTAAATTCTTTTACATTCGGTTACGAGTCGACCTCACCATGACATACCGGGTTCTATCTGTAGGCGAATTACCCATGCTAAGGCCACTGCTCCACTTGCGAACGCCTTGCAGCACATGCGGGCACCAATACAAGTTTGTGCTTCCAGATATGAAGCGAATTCCCCATCCCCTGTGCTTAGAATGGCGAGTGGTAAATCTCGGGAACTTTTTGCCGAAAATTATATAGTAGAAGCGAACTCAGTGCAACTAATCAAAGGAGCCTTGGATGTGCTTTACTCAGATATTAGATACCGTGAACGATTACTCACAAACACCTCGCCTTTTTGAAACATAATCCACTGTGAGTTAAACGATTTTGTACGATATAACTTGAGAATATGAAAAACGATCAGCGTATTGACAATTCATTGTTTGCTTTCGTAACGTTTTTGAGCATATATCCTTAGTTGTACAGATTTAAATTTCTACTTATTCCCACAATACAGTATTAACTATTCGTACTACCGTATGTGCACATTTTGAAGAGTCTGGCGTTTGTGCAGCCGTGCTACTTGTTCTCTTACACAGCTTATTGTAACCTCGCCCAACGTCAAAGTGCGTGTGTCCAGATGAAAGTTTTAGTCAGTGATGCCATTAACCTTACATTTCCAGCATGCTTTCAATAATATTAGGCCTGAATTATTAGTTATTAGTTGGAATAAGGAGACTGTTATCAGCGCAGTTAACATACTAATTGTCCGATAGGAAACAAATGGCAAACACTGATGTTAACTTTGCAGTGCCACAGTTGTCACTACTAAGGTTATCCGTGGTAGCGAATCAAATTATATCAGATTATGTCAATGACATGTTTAAAATATTAAACATGGAACTGTGTTTTTTATGCTGATTACATAAAATTTGCCTAATCCTACAGCAACAATGATTCTTACCAGGCACCTCTACACGTTCATAAGGATCTTTCATCCCACGAATCCTGGAATCATTTGTTAAAAATGGAACTGGCTTCAGAAAAATGCATAATCTTTTCACCGTTTGCCAAATTCTATCTAAAAGATTCCTATCTCCATGGCAAACGGCTCACGAAATGCATTCTTATCCGGATCTTAGATGTGCTGTATCAGGAAACGTTTGACTTCATTGAACAATTCAATTACCACATATCGATTGCATTACGAACGATCGGATTCGCCTGCAGTACCTTCGCGCTCCGTGAAGTTAGACTAACAATATATCGCATTTGTTCTAGCTATATTGGAATATTCCTTACTTCTTGCACTCATATGAGGACCTGTGGAAGACGAGCGCTTGAGAGGGTGCGAAGTCGCTTCACGAGGCATCTAGTAAGGTACAACATTACTTGAGTTACTATGAGCAACTTCAGGAACCTGGCCTTGACACATTATGGTGGCGGGAGCTTACAAGCAACCTCTCTTTTCTACATAGACTAATCAACCATTCCATGCATGTTGACCTCCATAGCGTGCACATAGATATCAGTGCACGCTACAAATTCCGAAATAAGGATATGAGACTATTTGTACCTAATTGCCACAACTGTAAAAGCGAGAATCCCCTCCTGGTAGTAAATTCAAATTATGAAACAAGTTTCCAGAAAACATTTGGCAGACCAAACCTCTCCTAAAGTTTAAGAGTGAACTACAGTGATAAATTACACTGAACACACTAACAAATATGCTGAGTGCAACGGGAGGAACAAAGGATGTTTCGAAAGTGGTGCAGGTAACAAATAACAAATGTGTAGAAGCTAGAAACATCATTTTCCTTTTAATTTTCTTCCTTTATTCGGTCAAACCTTCTTTGCGGCCTCCATGTCCACATTGGATTTCAACAGGAGAAACATACCAGACCCTTTTCTCTACTATTTGTCCATTATTCTCTGCTATGTTTATTCTGTCATACCCACAGCGCAGCACTCAGGCCCTCATGGAAGCCGACAGAGGAAACAAACAGAGCTGTTTTCTTTGCTCCATAATGCATCCTCTATGCTTTTCTTATTCAGACATGCTCACCTCGCAACTCTCGTGTTCACATGGAACTCAAAGGGAGGATACAAACCGAGTTGCTTTCTACAACCTTCCTACATCTATTAGATTAAACTTGTTCACTACGTCGTTATATAGCAGATTGCTGATAGAAAAATAAAACATTTCAACTACGTCTAATTTATATCACTTGCTGATCACAGATATGAGAATTAGGTTACAGTTAGACCCACGTTTGCAGATTCAGTTATTATCCTAAACATACCGGATTTGCCATGTTTGTGTGCTGAGTTTTATTATTTGCCTCATGCGAAGTATCAATGTATGATATTCTTATGGCCAAGTGGAATGATGTTAGTGCGCGATGAATATCAAGCAAAGTTGACATTGGTCACGGAAATGCCATACAATTCGAACAAGATTTCACTTACGTTTCGATTCTCTCTTTTCGAGTTGCCGAATGTACATAGGTTTCGCTGATTTTCTTCAAGTTCGGTCATTTCTTACGCAACATATAACATAGATAACATTTTCGAGCGCAAGCTACGGAATATGAGCGCTAGGTACTTCCAACGGCATCGGTAGTGTTCAAGTTATAGTCTTAAGACGAAATCCAACAATACACACCCGCGTGCAATATTTGATACTGCTGTTCCATACCTCATAACTTTTGCACTTGGACATATTCACTCAGCATACTGTGAAAGCATGAAATATGTATAAAACTCGGAATCTGATCCTGCTTACAATCGGATTTTCGCAGTCGAGATATATGCCATTTATTATTTAAATATTTATTTATAGTTGCTTTGCCTTATTTCTTTGCAGAGAAATGCGCGCGATCCAAACTATCACCGTAGTCTCAAAGTCACTGCCAGATGTACTTTAACAAGCAATGTTGAACGTTGTCGATCGACAATGCTGGTCTTCATAAGTTTGGAGACACGCGGCTTTGGTTCACGCGAGGATTGTCAATGGTTGCTTCATGTGATCTGGTGACTGGAGATAATTTGTTTGTTGCATGTACGCCATTAAGCACTGTACAAAGAATGACTACACCTGCTCATAAACAGCATTCTTATGTTTCTATTAAGTTTAAAATATTGTAGGGTTTACGTTCCGCAGCTGGAGTTCGCTCGAAACGCTTCATTCACCTAACGATTTCATAAATATTTCCTCTTAACCGGTAGTCAATGCAAGCACTAGCACTCCGGGCCTTCCAGATGTCAATCGGAAACTCGACGCTTAAGCCACTGAGTCGTTGCAGCCAACACGTGTCACAACATTCACTAACTGTTTGGATTGGTCACTCGTTCTGTGATTCATTTGCGAGACGCAATCTTTGTGGACCGCACTCACGTTGAATTAAAGCTCCGTCAAATCGATACTTGGGACCGTGACCGATGATAACTATTATGTGTTGCCAACCGGAACACACTGCACGCCATGTATCGTTTCCAACATTTCTTATAGCATCAGGTAGATATGACAAGCAATAGAAGCTGGAGTGTTTGGGGTGCCAGCCGGCACTTGTATTTCTAAGTCACAGAGTCGCGATGTGCAACGCCTGCCACACCAGTTAATGACTAATTTACTGTCGTTGATACGCTCATTGAGTGGATGGATTACCACACATGCTTTAGCAGAGTCAAGACTAGCTTTATAATAAACGTTCGTAGAGCATGCAAGTGATGGCCAGTGAGTCAGATAAACTGCACTGTGACCGAGTTAATTTGATGTTTACTTTTAATTTAAGCACCGTCCATCTCGGATCTGCGTGTTTACATGCGAACTTAAAGACCTGCGTCTACAAGTTGCTTTCCAATGTTGAAATTGAGTTATAGAACACAAACATCCCTTGAACGCGTTCGTGTGAACATTACGTCCAACGAACTCATTGACTCCAAAGAAATACTTATCCGATTAGTGTAATGGAGCATTCCTTCAAATTGTTCGTAACCCACATATATTATGAATTTATGTATTTCAGGCGAGATTTACTTCTTAGGTATCACATCATTTATGGCTGGTCACTTCATGGTCACTATCATATTTGTTTAAACAGTCATAAGCTAATCACTATAAGAAATGATAGAGGGACATTCGAGAGACATGCGAATATACGGCAAAGTTAAGCGCCACTTAGCTCTGTCTGGTGTGATGGATTTAAGTTGTAACGTGGGATCAAAGTGACCCACAACTTCTGTGGTTTATGCATATCGAATTTATATGCGCTACACGTGCTTGCTTTCTAAACAAGCGGGTACGTTTAAAACGCAAAGGCTTTAAAATACATTAAAAACGCG